GTAATGACCTTGCCACAAAAAAACATGCAAATCAAAAAACTCAACAAAAACCTATTTACTATTGAGTCCAAAAAATAAAAATTGAAAACCAAAGCTAAGTGATTGAACCTCAAACAGTTGGTCACCCATATACCCTTATGAATTACACTAATCAAATATTGTTGTCTTTTTATATGTATGTGTAGCCCTTTTTACACATTGATATATACAATGTACATATAGATGATTAAGTGATAACTTGCTAATATGCATGCGTTTTATACACCCAAAAAGGTCATAATGTTCACTCTTGAAATGTGTCTAATGATTAATGTGCGTACAACATACGAACATATCTGCGTGTGTGTGTATGTGCGTGCATATGCACATGTGTGTGTATGTACGTGGGTTTGTATGTATCTATGTGCGAGCATGTTGAGGTGTGTATGTGCGTATGAATGTAAGCTATGTATGTGTGTGCGTGGGTATGTATATATGTATGTATAACATGCAAAATTACGTATGAATGAATGTATGTATGTATGTATGTGTATGTATGTATGTATGTATGTATGTATGTATGTATGTATGTATGTATGTATGTATGTATGTATGTATGAGTACATGCATGCAAGTTGTGTTTATTTACACATGTAAATGTATGTTTTTGTCTGAATAAAAAATAAACAACTATCGACACCTTCAATGTGCCAACAATCTTCCCTGTCCTTGGTCGAGTTACCAATGAGCATCACGCATGCTTGGAGTTTAATAAAAGGAAAAAATACCGACTAAAAAATATAAGCAATGGTCTACAGTTTTTCTATAAGGATAAATATATCAACGATACATTTTTTTCATTGTTGAAAATATGTGTAAATTTCGCACTTCTGAATAGAAATATCATGTATTGTAAGTTGTATACTAGTATTTGTCGTCACAAGTTCATTGTGTCGACTGCAACGCGAGGCGACATATAGGTATTACTTTGTCGGCGCCAGTTGCGTCGTCCGAAATAAGGTTTCCGTGCGATTGCTTGAGTTCCCTTGAGTTGATTGATTTCAAACTTGGTTTACAAATAAAGCTCGGGACAAGTACGCATTTCAAGAGTTTACGTGCATTTTTGGTATCGGCCCATACATTTTAAACCCTTAAAGATAACTTTATCAATTTTGAAGTATATCTGCATCACCCACAGAAGTTGTGCAGTGCACTGGAATTATGTCTCGTACCCAACTATATACAGAGTTATGGCCCTTTGTTTGTTTTTAATACCGAAGTTTGTCCGGACCATAAGTTCCATATTATTTCACCTACGTTGACCAAACTTACCATATCTATGTATCTCTAAAAGGCGGAATCTATCGCACTAAAATATGATATCGTGCCCCACTATATACAGAGTTATGGCCCTTTGTTAAACGGGGGATATTAATTTGGGTTTGTCTGTCTGTCTGTCTGTCTGTCTGTCACACTTCGTTTCCGTGCAATAACTACAAAAAATGTTAACTGATTTTCTTCAAACTTGTCCACAGGGTTAAATGCCTTAAGGGCTCGGCCTTAAAGTTTAATTGTTTAGTGTTTACACACCTTAATCTTGATGTGACCTTTCTATTCTTCCAAATATGCATATTGGCTAATAAGGGGAGCCATATGATTTTGTTCACAAAAACAAATTTCTAGTTTTAAATGTGGTAATGCTTATCTGTAGTAAACCTAAAGGTACTATGACTGGCCAAAACTGTCAGAACATACTCCTACGCCACCAAAATTACTACTTTTTTCACTAAAGTTGCTGTAGGTTTTTTTTGTGGTTCATTTAAAAAAAAATAGTTATTAAATTAATTTGAAATATTTATTTTGTCATATGTTATGCAGATGAACACATGACCATATATTTACCAGGTTGAAATCACGATAATAGTATTTCCATTATGCAATATCTTTATTAGATTATCTATATATATATTTGTTCTAAAGTATTTTAAATTGTTTTGAAATGTCGAATTGATGTCAGCATGCTTCAGTTTAATTTACATGAGATTCAATACAATCAATCTAGGAAATGTATGACAACTTTCGTCATTGATTGGCTCTGTTGCATAGAAAAGGTATTAAAACAGGTTTTGTTGTAATAATCAACGTAATGAACAAAAAACAAAACAAACTAAAAAAATCAAATTCACTTTTTATTTTTGTATCTCTTACTGATAACCATAATCGTGTATCCATATACCCTCAACTACCTACACACTATTACACGATTTCATGAATATCAACAAAAATATATAACGTTTTCATTGAACGGTAAACGGAGCCACTACAATTACACAAAAATCAAGAAAGCACAAACTTCAAAACTTCACCTGCACACTTTACTACCCGACTCTCTTCATAATCCTCTCTGTTATGTTCGAACTACTACCGGCCTGTGTTTGGTTTACATCTCGGAACTGCTATAATAATCTAAAGAAATCATAGTTTGTGATTATAATTTGGTTCTTCAAATGTCTCTTTAAATTGGCACTAGGCATGACTTGGGGAGATTAATTTTCGAAAAGAAAGTGTAAATAAGAGGGATAAAACAGAGATCACATGTGTCGCAATTGGAGCAGCAGATCAACTTTGTGCTTCTCAGTCTTAACTATGTGTACTTTTCTACTTATATTATTTATTTATCCCCAATTAGTAACAATGATACCATGTTACGTTCTGTTGATAGAACCACGTGCTTGAACTAAAAACGGAAAGTGGATGATATCTTTTTATGAAATAACAGCTAACTTTTTTGAAATTAACCCTATGATATGGATTATTGACGTTAAACTCAGCTCCGGTAAACAGTGATGTTATATTTGAATTGTGTGTTTCAAATAGAAAATCACTGAATCGAATAAGAAACATTAGTTTATGAACTCCTGAAAGGTCCTCAAAATATTCTGCAATATCTAGTTTCTTTTCAGAAATGTTTCATTGCAATCGGGAAAAAGTTCTTAATGCAAAGTTTCAGATTTGTGACGGTGTAATGGGATCCCTCGCCGTTTTTCTAAAGGAAAAAGTAATTTCATCAAGATTAAACAACGCAAATATTATCTTGATCATACAATCGGTATGGGATAAAAAAAAAAAAAAAAAATATACACGGGTTATGACGTCATTATTTCGTAAAATTAAATTGTGATGGTGTTGATGAAACAAATTCTGATAGAGCTAACGGTCACATTCTGATAGAGCTAACGGTCACATTCTGATAGAGCTAACGATCACATTTGCTTTTAAATTCTGATAGAGCTAACGGTCACATTTGCTATCAAATTCTGATAGAGCTAACAGTCACATTTGCTATTAAATTCTGATAGAGCTAACGGTCACATTTGCTATTAAATTCTGATAGAGCTAATGGTCACATTTGCTATTAAATTCTGATAGAGCTTACGGTCACATTTGCTATTAAATTCTGATAGAGCTAACGGTTACATTTGCTATTCGTATTTTCCAGAGAAAGGTAGATTTAACATGTTTATGCTAGAATGTGATGTTCGTTTTGATTTGTAAAAAACATTTTGCAGATTTTATAAAATCTTTAATATCATATTTCAGAATAAGATTAGTCAATAAAGGAACAGTAGCATGATATCACAGTTGTTGAGTTTAACAAACAAGTCAGCAATTTTTGCAAAGCAATTAGATATTTTTAATTTTTAACATATCTTGAAAAATATAGTGCAATCTGGCTGTCAAACCATCTAATGACGAAAGAAAAAATAGGGCAAACAAAGCCTACAGGAGAATGTCACGTGTTTATTCGTGTAGCTAATTTGATTACTCGCTCCAATCTCTTTGACTATCAAAATACAAAATCGGAAAGTTGATTTTACCTGTCTAATGTGAGTATACATGAAAATAAATAAATAAATAAATAAACACTAGTTGAGTACATGCACATATCTCAGTAAGACTACATGCACTGAAAAAACAATTAGTGACAATGTCAAGTGTTTATTTATGGAATCGAAACTACTTTGCTTATCAAAATATTAAATATTTCAATTATATTTGTGGTTTTCCAATTTCCAATATTGTAATTTGACGAAACACTTTTTCCACTCTTCTCATTGGCGTACAGTGAAATAATAAACTGACCAAATTATGCCATTTCATCGAAAGCAAACGCATGATGTAACAATAATTTAGGAATAAATATGCTATTATGTTTATCAAAGACTTGGGTAAGGGCGAACCAACAGATCTATATATTAGTATTGCCTTACTAAAATGTGTATAAAACCAAGATTGGTGCACTGAAGGGATATTTTTTTACCGCTTTATCACAACCTAGTTTGTAGGTCGTCTCAAAGTGGTTCACACATTATTATCCGTGGTTATAGGGCCTCAGCAACCAGCCAATATCAACTCCCTGGGGAGCATACAGCCGGTGCTGCCATTTCGGCGCTAACAGCTAGCACTCAACAATTCCAGCACTGCCCAACCACATACTCATTTACAGCTGAGTAGACTGGAACAAGCGAAGTAAAGTGTCTTGCTCAAAGATAAAACACAGAGCCGTGCCGTGTCTCGAACCCGCAAACCTTCGGTCACGAGTCCGGCGTCCCACCACTAGACAACTGTGCCTCCTTTTATCCAAATAGCGCATGTGATGTCACTGCAAATGTAGTGCTCTATTTTTAATAAAAATGACCTAACAAATAGCACATAGTTGATAAGTAGGTCACCGTGACCTTGTTATATATCGGCTTAATAATGGCAACGATTAACTCCATTTGCACAAAATTTGCAAGATAATTGTGACGGTTGAAATGTGTATTTAGGCACACTAGATTATTGTGATTATAATGTGTACTTAGGCCGCTAGATTATTGTGATTATAATGTGTACTTAGCCACACTAGATTATTGTGATTGTAATGTGTATTTAGGTGCACTCGATTATTGTGATTGTAATGTGTATTTAAGCACACTAGATTATTGTCATTATAATGTGTATTTAGGCACACTAGATTATTGTGACCGTTGTAATGTGTACTTAGGCACACTAGCACACTAAATACCCATTATGCTTCCGAGTTTCAGATATATTAAACAACAATAAAAAATATATCTGAATAAAATAGTACTTTCTTTTATTTTATATATTTTGACATAAGTGTGCCTCGCTACCTTCTTAAAAAATGAAAACACTCTGTGTCTGCCAGTGCATTATTCAGACTTATCTATAGTGAAAAAAATGTCTGCATTCAAAAGCAATATATTCTTCTCAAGTTTTGATGAGAATAATTGGATACATTACCACCACAGACACGCACCTAATATAATCATTTTGGTTGAGGTCCTTATATCTGTGAGTAGAATGCGCATGTGTGATAGTCAAACAGTAGGTCAGCTATACAAGTATTACATGTACTGTACTTCTAAGACAATTCTAATGAGTACATAATTACATATATACTTTCGCACATTAAAAAGAATTTGGCTTGTAAGCAAGCTATGAACTATATATACGTATATTATATGTCTCGCCTGTCCCCGCTTTGATCATAAGATTCAATGTGTCAAGCATTGTAAGTTTGATCCGAATTTCGACCAATCATATGGAAGTCAGTGTACGACGACCCTCTTGTCAGATCAGAAAACGGATGCCGCAGTTGAGTTCGGTGCGAATATACACTTACATACCGATTTTTAGCGAAATCAAACTATAACTGAATTTCGACATATCAGAAGCCAATATACAGTGGCCATTTTGTCAAATAATAAAAATGAATGTCGTGGTTGAGTTTGCAGTGCCAAAATACATGTTCATACCAAATAAGACTGAAATTGAACAATAACCGAATTAAGACAAATCAGAAGCCAGTATAAGGTGGCCATTTTGTCAAATCAGGAAAACGATGCCGCAGTTGAACTCGCAATGCTAAAATATACTTACATACCGAATATTGACGAAATAGAACCCTAACTGAATTTCGACTAATCAGAAGCCAGTATAAGCTGGCCATTTTGTCAAATAAGAAAACAGATGCTGCGGCTGAGTTTGCAGTGACAAAATACACCTACATATAACATTTGAGCAAAATCGAACGATATCTGAGTTTCGACCAATCAGACGCCAGTATACTGCAGCCATGTTTGTTGTCTGATTCCGTTAAAACATTGACGTTGTAACCCTAGAGATGGTAGTGATCACCGAAACTTACAGTCTAAGTTCAATGAGTCTAACACTTTAAATGTTTGAGATACAGCATATAACACACGGCTAAACGCACAAGCTTTACATTGAGGAAGATGCTGTGAAAGTCACTGGACCGGGAAATGTAGACCACATTCATTATATCATGCATGGTTTATAATCCACGGGTTATGAATACAAGACGCATGAATGGTCGAAGTTTGGTTGTTCTAGCACTTATACATTTTAAGAAACAGAGCAACGCAAAAACTTAACAGTGAGAAGATGCTGACAAAGTCACTGGATTGTGAAATATAGCCCATATACAGCATATGATGCATGAACTACAGTCCAACTTTACTTAGTCTAAAACTTTAAAGTTCAAAATACAGCATAAAACACAGCTAAACGCAAACACTTAACATTGATGAAGATGCTGTCAAAGTCACAGGACCGCGAAATGTAGGGCACATTCAGCAACTGATACATGGATTGAGGTAAAGTATATAAGACGCATGCCCAAGTTTGGTTGGTGTAGCACTTATACTTTTTGAGAACAGAGCTAAACGCAAAAATTTAACGTTGTCATCATCGCCGCCGCCGCCGCCGCCGCCGGAAAAGTAACACCTAAGTCCAGCCTCCTCGACATCAGAGACAATAAAAAGAAACAATCTCAACATCGAGCTTTAGTTTTTTCATCTCTTCAAAGAGATTCTTCAGACTTTTTATTTATATATTTATATTAGTCTCTCTGATACTACAATGCAAGTTTAATCGCCAGGCATTGAATGTAAAAACTGCTACATACTGGACTAGAAGGCAAGTCAATGTAGACAATTATATTTCACAAATATGAGGATCTCTGCCCAATACATGTGTAAGGTGTATGTCAGTGGATGGTAATACATCCAATTATATTTGCCAAAATATCAATCAAAACCGTAAAATGATACAATATCGTTACGTACATCCATTCACTCTATAGAAGATTCTGAATTTGTTCAAAGCACTGAACAGAATTAAACGTTTAAGTACCCTTACTTGTATATCAAACATTAAGTATACAGACAGTTGTTAAATTGTGGTCTAATATATCTGAAAGGTGGATGCATTTCTAAACAAAAGATAACAGTTGTTGTGTGGCTTTTGTGCCAACAGATAATATTGATTATGAATAAATAATGTTATCAAAAGGTATGCTGAAAGTAACCCCTTCCCCTGTTCATTTTTATGAGATCATGTTAGGATACATATTTCTACAATTTTGTAAGATTAATGTATAGATCTAATGTGTATTTAGGCACGAAATAGAGAGAATCGTTGACCTAAGTAAGCCGATATATAACAAGGTCACGGTGACCTACTCATTTTTATAATTTGCAGTTTCCTTGTGACAACAAAATATCAAAATAATGTAGAAAAAAACCTGCAGATTTTCTCAAAAAGAGGGCCATTTGTGATTTTATCCCCCACTTTAAATCCGCATTTCTCGGAATGGTCTCCAAGCTGAGCTCAATTGCATGCATATCATGACAGCATAATCCCAAGGTATGTATATACACTGATATTTCCGGTGATAGCCACCAGAAGGCCCAAAATTGCAACCTTCTTTTTTGAAAGTGAAACATTACTGGCAGTCTTTGTCAAAAAATGAAGTATTCCATATCTATGGTGACACGTTTGCCGGTTGGGGTTGCGTCATGTTATAGGACGAATTAATTGTCACCTGACATCATGTATCTTCAACTTCCACCTGTGCATTTAACATTTCATCCAAGAATTTAGTTGTGATTGATCTCAGGTCTGTCATCACTTCAATTGTCTTTGGAAACACTAGAGAATCGTCCGCATGACTTAATAGCATCTGACATTTCATGGATAGACACAATTCATGCTCCATTCTTTCCAGTGTATACTTGTTCTCAACCCCGGGCCGATCTGAAACATATGACACCAGGATACATGATATAATATTGGTAAAAAAACACCTTCATCATGTTTAAACATAATCGTGTATTATGCAATCACCTCTTCAACCAGGTTCCGGTGCAGTTATGTCTTAATTCATTGACGTATGTGATAAAAAAAAAAAACCGTTTTGTTTCGTGCAAAAGTTTTGAAATGGTGATTTTAGTCCAATTTAGTTGTAAAAAGAAAAAAATCCCGAGTGAAGGCAAGCTAGCGGAACTTCAATTCTCCCCTAGAACCATTAACAAACAAAGCGTCGCCAGCTGTTTGAACCACGAATACTGAATCCTGTCAAAAAGTTCCAGTGAAGTTTCATTCTAGCAATTTCGTTTCGTGTTAACGAGTGTAATTAAATCTGTTTATTTCTAAATCTACATTTACCTTTCCTTTCGGGAAGTTATGAAAGTTGCTTGCTTGCGTGCCAAAGGGCGACTTTAACAATGACTATAGCTTCCTTTACATCGTGTGTTGTGACCTCAAACTTTGCCATAGTGTGAAGTTTGATAAAAACAAATGGGCTCACAAATCGTTTAAGCTGTGATAATAACCTTCTTTTAATAGTAAAACTGACACTGAAAGTCGTAAAACCACGAGCATCTTGCGCCCTGTTATTTTCATTCTTGACTAATGTATCAGTTTTGATTAAAATAATTAAGAAGAAAGTCGCTAGTTTGGTAAAATACATCTTCAATGTACATGAACTGTGACCTTGACATTGATAGCCACCGTAAAACATCAAACCATTGTAGGTATTCTTATAGTTGATTATTGGATGAATTTTGAATAAAATCATTTCGACGCGAAGTCTCGAGAGAAATGACAAAAAGGTGTGCCTTTCAGAGAATATAATTTCAAAATAATCGACCTTTGACCTATGAGATTAACTTTTGAGGAGATAATAACTGGAAAAACCAGGTAAACGTAACACCATTAGAAGATACAATTCCAAAGTTATGCCATGATAATACGGTCACATCTTGGCCCGCAGTAATTGACTGTTATGATAATACAATAATCTGAACAGTATAATTCTCAAACGACAAATGCACATGAACAAACCTGAACAGAACAACAACATGGCGGCAAGAAGGGAATGTTCAACGTCATTGAGTTCGAGCTTTTGGAGCTTTTTGGCTGCTTTGTACATATCCTGAAATAACTGTCCTAGTATTCCAATCTCAAGATCACAGTGTTGGGGTACCACAAATTGTAGCTTATTATCTATCCACTCGCCGTTTGAAACGTCAGCGTTTAAGCTACCATGAATAACGGCTGTCTCTAGAATGCTAGCCTTGATCAGGTGTCTTTGACTCGCTAATGTCATTTGTGTGAAGTGGGGAATCTCCCTCGCGAAAGCCGTTTGGAATAACACTATTCCAGGCAAGTATCTGGAATATACAGCCTTTGCCGCTGATTCCGTTGTAACCGTTGTTGTATTCTACAGTTAAAAAACAATTGTGTCAAAAAACATGTCATGAGATTCAAGAGTGCACATGAAGAACAGCAAAAGATCTAGATACATTGTTTGTAAACAGTTGATATGGTATTTCACCTACTGATTAGCTGCTATATTTTAAATCTCAGTTTGAAAAAAAAGCTATTCTCTATCTCTACTTATACAAAAGCTGCCATTTTGCATCTTTCCAAACAGTTGCTATAGTGTCTGTCACCTACTACACGAGTTAACCGTTTATAAGTTGTATCTCAAATAACAAATAGTTGGAATAGTGTATCTTATCTTATTATCAGTTGTTTTGTTGCATTTTGAGAATATTGCATTTAATTTATTAACTAGTTGTAATGGTTTTTGCTGGTGTATTTTACCTAATTAACAGTTACCAGATTGTTTCTCACCTCATAAATAGTAGTACGTCTTATCTCCCCTTATACACAAGAAACAGTTGTTGTTTTGTTTGTTACTTAATGTACTATGTAGCATATTTAGCTCACCGGGTACAAAGGACTAAGGTGAGCTTAATCCATACCGTGGCGTCCGTCGTCCGTCCGTTGTCTGTGCGTCAAAATTTACTTCAAACGACTTCTTCATCTTAACCACTGATTATAAATTAAATAAATTGTACAAATGGTGGGATGAACCCCAGTGGGCTGAGGGGCGGGGCCAAAAGGGGATAATTTGGGTATATTGCTATAAACAACTTCTTCTGTAGAACTAGACACTGGATATCAATCACATTTGGTCGGAAGTATTCATGGGAGACAGGGATTTCAAAATTGTACAAATGGTGGGGCTGGCCCCCGGGCTAAGGTTGGGGCCAAAAATAGTTTGAAAAAGTTGAGATCCCAACCCTTTAACCTTATATACAATTGGTGAGTACAAAGAGACGAATGCACTTATGCTTCCAGGATGACCCTCGAGTCTGGCCCACCCTTGTAAGATACAGTTCCTGGGTCATAAATTTGAATCGGTTGAGATCCCCACCCCAAAACTATATATACAATTGTTGGACATAAAGTGTAGAATACAGTCATGGCAAAATAATTGACCCCGGGGTCTGTCCCACCCTTGCAGACTTAACTCCTGGGTCATAACCTTGAAACGGTTGAGATTCCTACCCCAAAATTATATATACAAATGCTGGGCATAAAAAGAAGAATGTAGTCATGATATTAGAATAGACCCTGGGATCTGGCAAAGCCCCTAGGGACCTAGTTTATGAGTCAAAGCTTGTAAACAGTTGAGATCCCCACCCTATAATCATATATACACAATTGCTAACTATAAGGAAACGAATGCACATATGCTTCCAGGATGGCCCCAGGGTCTGTCCCATCCTTGGAGACTTAACCCCGGGGTCATAACTTCGAATTAAGATCCCCACCCTAAAACAATTTATACAATTGTTGGGCATAAAGAGACCAATGCAATCATGACATTAGAATTGACCCCGGGGTCTGCCCCACTCTTGCAGACTTAATCCCTTGGTTTTAATTTTAAAACAGTTGAGATCCCTACCTCAAAACTATATATATAAATGCTGGGCATAAAGAAACGAATGCTGTCATGATATTAGAATAGACCATGGGGTCTGGCGAAACCCCTAGGGACCTAGGTTCTGAGTCACAGCTTGCAAACAGTAGATATCCCCACCCTATAACCATATATAAAATTGCTGAGTATAAAGAGACGAATGCACATATGCTCCCTGGGTTTGCTCCACCCTTTGAGTCTTAACCCCTAGGTGATAACTATAAAACGGTTAAGATCCCAACCCCAAAACTATATATACAATTGTTCGGCATAGAGAGACGAATGCAGTCATGCTATAGAATTGACCCCAGTGTCTGCCCAACCCTTGCCGACTTAATCCCTGGGTCATAGCTTTGAAACGGTTAAGATCCCCACCCCATAACTATATATACAAATGCTGATCATAAAGAGACGAATGCAGTCATGATATTATAATTGATCGAGGGGTCTTGCCAAGGGACCTAGTTTCTGAGTCACAGCTTGGAAACAGTTGAGAACCGGACCCCATAATCATACATAAATCTGCTGGGCATGAAAAATCTATTACAGATATGTTACAAGGATTGGCCTACGGGTCTGGCCCATTCCCTTGGATCTTATTTGGAGAATATTTTGCCATGTCTTGCTTAGATATCCAGGTGAGCGATACATGTCCTCTGTGCCTTTTGTATGAATTTACAGCTGCTAAGCTTGATCTCGCCTTTATTCTCAATTTCTATGTTGTGTCACACTTAAGACCAATTGTTCTGTTTTGTCTCCCTTAAAACAATTTATGTGTTGTATCACATAACAGTTTTTTGAGATGTATCTCGTCTACTTAACAGTTAATGTGTTTCATCATACATGATTAATTAGCTACTTAATAACTTTTAGCTCTTTAAAATATAAATGTATTTATCTATAAAAATGTCTGTTTTTATGACAAAAATTAAGTTTCATGTAGTTGTTCAATATTGTATGACTTACCTGACATGAGCTGAACCTTGCGCAGTATATTTCAAATGACCTGAAAGCTGCCTTGAAGGCGTCGTGGATCGTTAGTACCATCTGTTCCGATTTGATCTGCTTATCGACATCTACAGAGCCGTGTGATGTCTGAGGCAACTTGAAGAACTTCGTTTTTGATGGCTTGTCCTTTTTAGGGCATCGACCTAACCGCACGCCTACAAAAATCAAATGGTCAAAAAGTTCCCGAATACAGATAAGAACAAATGTAAATGTCAAGTGATCCCAAAGGAATCGTTTTACGTTACACTAGGACAGTAAAAAATTCGCCCACCGGTATGTTTTCCTGGGACATGTCTGTATGATGTTAATTTTGTCACAATATCCTTTACTAGGAAGGAATATAGAATTTGTCGAGACGGACATTTAACTTGCATCATTGGATGTGTTTTCACGGTGTTTCTGTACAATGTTTGACCTGGGCATTTGACCATGGCACCTTGACTTTGAACAGACACGAACGGGCCATTTGGGAATAATATCAACAATACTACTCCACGATGATATCATTGATATACACTAGATATCTTAATTGTGCAATACAACACACAACAAACAAAGGAGTGCCGGAAGCCTTTATAATTGATAGTATAAGGACAATAGTGATCGTCGCGCCCTTTCGTTGAATTTAAAGAAGTGACGCTCATGGGATACCTCGAGGTGTTTGAAAGGTTTTTGCCACACGGAACGTTTTACATGATATTAACCCATCAAAGCAGTCCTTACACAGCTGAAAATTCACAGGAATCTGGTTACAAAACAAAATTTCAACAATGCCAAGACTTTCAGTCGGTTTAATATGACCCTCGTGGCCCTGATCGTTCACCATGTTTGTTGATTTGTTACGGGACAATGGTGACTGTTAAAGTCACATTAATGTATCAAAATTTGGACATGGTAGAATGGAATCTCATCCGCCACATTTAACCAGAGAGAAAAAATCAAACGGAAAGAAAAGTTAATAAGACATAGAAGAAAAACAAAAAAGATATAAAAATATTACGAAGCTGCGTCTTACCCTCGTGTGACATGCCAGCAGTAATACATTTCTTCATACGACAATATTGACATCGATTCCTGCTAATGCGCATAATTAGACATCCGTTCGGATTCTCACATGGCTTGTAGACCATATTTTGTCGTACCGTTCTTCTGAAAAAACCCTGTATATACAGATAAGTTAATCAGTATTATTAAGCAACATATTGAAAAATGTGATTGACTGTATTGAAATATTGGCATTGACATTGACATGCAGTGTCGATCTGTTAGCCTTACGTCGAATACCAAAAGCTGTACAGAATTATATGCGTATGCATAATTAATGAAAAGTTTACATGACATATACTTAAACCAGAGAGATATTGAAGTATGATATTTCGATGACGGCTTTTAAACGATAAACCGATAAAAAATAACTAGTGAAATATATTTGAATCGAGGTTTTAAAATGCACGATACCCTAGATCCACATACAAGGTACTCGCTGAAACATTCCAAGTATCTATCGAATCAACAGTTAGTAATTAAGAAAAACCATTTCAAGAACTTGAAAAACATTATGGAGCACACACAATCGTTCATCTTAATGTTAATGCAACCGTAGCACGTTCTATTTAAAGTAATAATTCTATAAGACTTGGACCAGAACCTTTGTCTAATCCTGAAATTGTTAGAGTGTTGTCTCTTCATGCAAGGCATACATAGTGTGGTGATCTGACTGTTTCAAAGATATGACAAAAAAACACACGTTTCTAGCGCATAATCATAAGCGTATTTGTCTCTCGATGTCCAGCAATTGTTTATTTGATTATAGTGGGGATCTCGACCATTTCCATTGTATAGCTAGCCCATGAACAGTGTTGACGGTTGGGGCAGACCCAAAGGACACCCAGATAACATATTTGTATTTGTATTTTCATGTCTTACGATTATATATACGGTTATAGGATGGGAACTTCAACTGTTTCCGTGTTGTGACACAAGAACTAAGTTTCCATGGACGGGGCGGACCAAGAGTCCAATCCTAGTAGAATATCTGGATTCGTCTTCATTCCCTTGTGATAGGGTGGGGATCTCAATCAAATTAGGGCAGGGCAGGGATATTAAGGTCGTCAATTGCCTTAGGTCATATCGATCACCAATATGAATCAATATGGTATGCTTTGTATGTGCACGATTTATAACAAAGTAGAGACGACAGATCAAGTTGTTAATTTAGTTTAATTACAGTTCAATTATGTGGGCAATGTTTCAATCTTGAGTTGAATTGTCGAGAAAAAACACCATCTTGTTATTTGCGATGAATCTAAAACCAGCTACACTTGGTGAAGACAATTTACTGAACAGTGATACAAAGGTTTGTCAGTATCAACAGCACTCGAGTTATTACTTCAAATAGCTTTTGAAGATAACAGCCATGTCGGCCATCTTGAAATGCACATTGTGCTTATCATTCATAGTAAGTTTATCGATATCAGTTGATGAACGGCGCTCGACAAAAACCGCACGACAGACAAGGACGGAAAACAACAGGTCACATATGCCTCTGACACAGGCGAGCTAAAAATCTTACCTTACATCCCTCGCACGAGAAGACACCATAATGGTAGCCAGAAGCTTTATCGCCACATATCTTACAGAGAATGTGCCCATCCGGGTTTTTAACTTTGTCTATCAAAATATGAAGTATTTATAAATATGTTATAAAGGCTCCATTTTATCATATGAATTCAATATAGAAATCAAATACACATAATACATTAATTATTATTTCCGTATCGTATTGATATTCTCTTCCAAGTGAATCAAAGTGACTTGATCATGCTACTTCATCAACGTGACTGTATATATAGCGTGACATTAAAACAGTCAACAAAGAAATGATTAATATATTTCAAAAGAGTGTGTGTTTTTTTAAATATGTAATAACTGAAAACCCTGCCTTTCGAACAACTTGACTAAAGGATTGTAAACGGTGAAACCTCATTGAGCCGAATGTAACCATGATGCTTTGAAATAATGGAATATTGCTAATTATGGTGGGTACAAAAATTTGCCAATTTGGCGAATCACCACAACATTAGGAACTCTTTGCATTAAAATAAATACATTTGTTTCATTCATCATAACACATTTTTATCCAATAATCTATCTACCTATAGATTTGAATGATACAACTATTAGGGAACATACTATTCGCCGTAATAATTAGCAGCTTTACAAATTATATATTTTAGCATTTAAGTTTGGTATAGATAATATTTACGTGGATTTGCAGGTTGCCGATTATTTGTTCTAGTGACCGCCACAACAGTGCAGTCATCATTTAGCTGTTCGAGTCCATGAGCCATCATCGAATCACTATGCTGTCATGGTTTATCGTAAAATGTGTTCTCCTTCGTTTCAGTTCTGAAATAAACAACGGATTATTCATTCTGAGAAACCATTAAAAAGTACATTAGAAATATCTCTTTGTTTAGTAACTAGAGATAAAATATACAAAAAAATAAAAATCATTTAACTATAAGCCATATTCATTTGTAGATCTTTCTAATTATCTAACACTTTATGTAGTTTCTTTTAATATTTGTATGTAGTACTTTTTTGTAGTTTTAATGTTTGTACGAAGTACATTTTGTAGTTCGTTTTATGCTTGTACGTAATACTCAAATTAAATTGATTTTTTTTTTGTAGTACTTATGTGTAGTTTTAATGTTTACACGAAGTGCTAGTTTGTTATTCGGTTTAACGTTCAACTTATTTTTAGTGCTAGAGTTTGTACAAAGTACTTCATTATTATTTTTTTATTTTTTTAAATGTACTCATAGAGTACTTATTTGTTATTCAAATATTTGTACGGAGTAGTTATTTATGGTTCTAAATAGTGTATGTAGTAATTGTACGTGGTACTTGTGTATAGTTCTAATGTCTGTACGAAGTACTGTTACGTGTACGTGTTAAACAATGAATGGGATTAAGGAATGTTAAACAATAAATGGTATTATGAAATGTGAAACAATAAATGGTATTATGAAATGTTAAACAATGAATGGTATTATGAAATGTTAAACAATGAATGGTATTATGAAATGTGAAACAATAAATGGTATTATGAAATGTGAAACAATAAATGGTATTATGGATGTTAAACAATGATTGGTATTATGGAATGTGAAACAATTAGTGGTATTATGGAATGTGAAACAATTAATGGTATTATGGAATGTGAAACAATTAGTGGTTTTATAAAATGTGAAACAATTAGTCGTATTATGGGATGTGAAACAATTAGTGGTAATATGGAATGTGAAACAATTTAGTGGAAGTATGGATGTTAATCATGAAGCGGTATTATAGAATATGAAACAAATAGTTATATTATCGAATACTTAGTTGCATTTATATTACATTTTATACTAGGTTCATCTATACATGTATTTCAAGGACAAATATGTGATAAACTTCTGTGAATATTTATTTTGCATATCTGTGGGTTGTTAAGCATTTATCACAGACAACACTGACAGGTCAGCAAGGCCCTTGCCATGTGGTTGACTGTATATATAATGTATCCCCTATATATACTGAGCAGAAGCTACAGCGATCATTGTGTATATTGAAGTAATGGTAGTAAAGCCTGACAAATACTAGACACCATCTAGTGTGAGAACAATCAGAAGAACAGATGTTGTGATCCGAAAGGTCTTAACAAATCAAAACCATTGACTACAATCTTGTTTGATAGTATCGGGTTCATCAATATCCACTAAGTACCATGTATCAATAAAAGAAAAGTGATGCCAGAAATATGTGTGTCAGCCAATCAGAAGCAGCAGATGATGGCAACCTTCGACATAAGGATCAGGGAAATGTGGTAATATTAATGTAGAATATCTACTTAGAAAACATTTATCGTTGAATCAAGCTAGAGTCTAGAGTTAATTGTACATCAGGCAAGTTCCAACAAGATCTTATCAAAGCAACCAGCCAATGAGAATTCAACAACCTCACATACTCCGTAGTTGTAAACCAGGCCAGTTAAATCAATTGTTGTTCATTCTATCACAAGATATTGCATAGAATACTATCAGTCAATCAAACCTCAGTAGCCTAATCAAATATATGCGGAATTCGCTTAATATTGAAACAAAGGGAGAGACTGGAGTTATTTGCATTAATCAAGTTTTATCAAAATCTCAATATTCTGCCAAAAGACATCGCATGGAAACCAATCAACTTATCTGAATGCAGCATCTTCATTTAATATGTGTAAATAATTTGCCAAACATAAAACCTGAGTAAATACTTGGGTAAGTAGTGTACCAAGCAAAGTGGATCAAAACTTGGGTAAGTAGTGTACCAAGCAAAGTGGATCAAAACTTGGGTAAGTAGTGTACCAAGCAAAGTGGATCAAAACTTGGGTAAGTAGTGTACCAAGCAAAGTGGATCAAAACTTGGGTAAGTAGTGTACCAAGCAAAGTGGATCAAAACTTGGGTAAGTAGTGTACCAAGCAAAGTGGATCAAAACTTGGGTAAGTAGTGTACCAAGCAAAGTGGATCAAAACTTGGGTAAGTAGTGTACCAAGCAAAGTGGATCAAAACTTGGGTAAGTAGTGTACCAAGCAAAGTGGATCAAAACTTGGGTAAGTAGTGTACCAAGCAAAGTGGATCAAAACTTGGGTAAGTAGTGTACCAAGCAAAGTGGATCAAAACTTGGGTAAGTAGTGTACCAAGCAAAGTGGATCAAAACTTGGGTAAGTAGTGTACCAAGCAAAGTGGATCAAAACTTGGGTAAGTAGTGTACCAAGCAAAGTGGATCAAAACTTGGGTAAGTAGTGTACCAAGCAAAGTGGATCAAAACACGGGTAAGTAGTGTACCAAGCAAAGTGGATCAAAACACGGGTAAGTAGTGTACCAAGCAAAGTGGATCAAAACTTGATCATACTGTCATTAGGTATTGCCGGGAAAGCAAATAGCCAATCATATCGTTGAAGCCTCATTATATATGTACGGAATTAGCAAAATGTCTTTTTCTTCATAAGATATAACGCGGGAAAACGGACGGAAATCTCGAAATGTCAGCACGTTAGCTTTTCTATCTGACAATAAATAGGCATTAAATAATCAGGATCTTATTTGAGTATTTACCAAACGCCTTTCATAGATTACCTTTCCCCTTGAAACTGTTAGATATTAGTTAATATCCCTTTACCTAAAATCAAGAAAAAGAATCTACCTATATATAATTACCTGTTTAAAAGGAGCTGTTTAAAATTAGACAAGACAGTTTACACGATGATGAAATATCAAAAATCAGTTTAAAATAAGACAAGACATATTTTCGTATCCTAGCAGACATTTTCATTGGTATACATTGCAATGACGTGTTTTTCTCGATTTCTTTTTTCTATTATTATCTTTTTTATTTGTGTACAAAATTTGATGTGTGCTACTTTCTTCTGATGTGCTTATTGTTAAACCATTTTCCCTCGTTATGCTTACAAAACCGTCATGTAATATGCAAAAACATCTATTTTCTGAGAAATCTCCTGTTGTTTTTCTTCGGGCATTAGTTCTCATATTCCAGAAAGAGTGTCCTCCCTTCCCACTCTGACGCAACAAGTATAGCACAGGAAATACTTTAAACAACTGATCATTAACTTGACACCGGATAATCAAAAGGTAGATTTGTAATTGACTTGACGACAATAGGAATAAAATGCTCCAGCTTAATTATTTTCTTTATTGTTCCACCGCTACTTTGCCACGTAACGACTTAAAATATCTGGAAATTAACATACAGTTTTATTTCCACATGTGATATGTATTGAAATTATTGGCTGAAATGGTACTTTGCCATTACTTTTAAATACTATTCGTCCTTTCTATCCGATAAAAAGTAACGAATGATGAAAGAAAGTCTGGTTTATTTTATCAAATCTACACTGACATTTTACAATGACCCAGTCTGTACAAAATTAACTCACTACAGTGACCCAGTCTGTACAAAATAACCTCACAACAATGACCCAGTCTGTACAAAATTAACTCACTACAAAGACCCAGTCTGTACAAAATTAACTCACTACAATGACCCAGTCTGTACAAGATTAACTCACTACAATGACCCAGTCGGTACAAAATAACCTCACAACAATGACACAGTCTATACAAAATTAACTCACTACAATGACCCAGTCTGTACAAAATTAACTCACTACAATGACCCAGTCTGTACAAAATTAACACACTACAATGACCAAGTCTGTACAAAATAACCTCACAACACTGACCCAGTCTGTACAAAATAACCTCACTACAATGACCCAGTCTATACAAAATTAACTCACTACAATGACCCAATTTGTACAAGATTAACTCACTACAATGACCCAGTCTGTACAAAATTAACTCACTACAATGACCCAGTCTGTACAAAATTAACTCACTACAATGACCCAGTCTGTACAAAATTAACTCACTACAATGACCCAGTCTGTACAAAATTAACTCACTACAATGACCCAGTCTGTACAAAATTAACTCACTACAATGACCCAGTCTGTACAAAATTAACTCACTACAATGACCCAGTCTGTACAAAATTAACTCACTACAATGACCCAGTCTGTACAAAATTAACTCACTACAATGACCCAGTCTGTACAAAATTAACTCACTACAATGACCCAGTCTGTACAAAATTAACTCACTACAATGACCCAGTCTGTACAAAATTAACTCACTACAATGACCCAGTCTGTACAAAATTAACTCACTACAATGACCCAGTCTGTACAAAATTAACTCACTACAATGACCCAGTCTGTACAAAATTAACTCACTACAATGACCCAGTCTGTACAAAATTAACTCACTACAATGACCCAGTCTGTACAAAATTAACTCACTACAATGACCCAGTCTGTACAAAATTAACTCACTACAATGACCCAGTCTGTACAAAATTAACTCACTACAATGACCCAGTCTGTACAAAATTAACTCACTACAATGACCCAGTCTGTACAAAATTAACTCACTACAATGACCCAGTCTGTACAAAATTAACTCACTACAATGACCCAGTCTGTACAAAATTAACTCACTACAATGACCCAGTCTGTACAAAATTAACTCACTACAATGACCCAGTCTGTACAAAATTAACTCACTACAATGACCCAGTCTGTACAAAATTAACTCACTACAATGACCCAGTCTGTACAAAATTAACTCACTACAATGACCCAGTCTGTACAAAATTAACTCACTACAATGACCCAGTCTGTACAAAATTAACTCACTACAATGACCCAGTCTGTACAAAATTAACTCACTACAATGACCCAGTCTGTACAAAATTAACTCACTACAATGACCCAGTCTGTACAAAATTAACTCACTAC